TGAGGATCAATCTGACGTTATAGAAAAAAAAAAAAATTTACTCTTCTCGTTGAATATTATTTTCGAAATTGTCGACGCGAAATTATTTTCAACGTAAGAGAGGATCATTGTGAATTCGTAGAGAACCACTCTCGGTAATTCGAAAAAAGAAATGGAAAATAAATAAATAAATAAATGAATAATATCGTGAAAAATGCAATGCATCAGGAAAAAAAAAAAAGAAAAAAAAAGAAAAAAAACATTATACGATACATTGAAATATTATTCACGAGTTTACCGAAATAAAATATTTTTAACGTAAAAGTGGATCGACGTAGGACACCATAATGAATCACGCTTTATAACTGGAAAATGAAAAAGAGAGAAATAAATAAATAAATAAATAAATAAATAAATAAATAATGTCATCGAAAGTACAACTGTACAATATATCGAAATAATTATATAATTCTTTTTGGAACTTTTTATAGACGATATTTTTTAACGCACGAAAGAGAACGTCGCAGTGAAAATAAAAGAAAAAAAGAAAAAAAAAAAAAAAGAAAAAAAAAGAGAAAGAGAAAGAAACAAAACCGAGTACAAAAGAGAAAGCTTTTATCTCTCTCTCTCTCTCTCTCTCTCTCTCTCTCTTTTCATTTTTGCTTTTTTCTTCTTTAAAAGTCTCATTTTCGCGGGCACACACTAACTATAATAATTCGCTTGGCGTATCTCGTGACGGCCATGAGCAACCGGTCCATACTTATCACGGTCGTTCCGTTCGTTCGTGGCTCTAACGAGGCTCCTTAGCGCTTAAACTTTCGTACTACTCGGAACGACGAATAGCAGTAGCAACGCAGGGGCTTTGTGGAAATTCGTCGTCGGCACGATCAAACGAAGCGTGGAAAAGCTTTCCTCGTCTCGTTGCACCGAAAACTTTCCTTCGTTTGTGATTGGTCGTTCTCGAATGTTGGATTTAGAGACGTTTAATTGGTTAGTACGAATTAGTTTGCCGATAAAGAAAAAAAGAAAAAGGATTTCAATGTAGAAGATTTTTTTATTTTTCAACTAGCTCATCACGTATTGAGAGAAAAAATATTTTTAAATTATCTAAACGTTCGTAACAACGATATCATTATTTTGAGAATATAATATATATTTTCAAAATAATAAAAGAAATATATATATATATATATATATATATATATATATATGTATATGTAAATATATTACATACGCGACACAATAAAGTTTATGAATATTGAAAAGCTTTAATATAATATTTTTTTGAAGCTTTATATTTAACGATATCGAAACATTGCGATTGCTTGAATCTTTTCTCTTTCTATTTTGTTTTTCTTTCTTCTTCTTTTTTTTTTTCATCTCTCTTTCTTTCTTTCTTTCTTTCATAGAGGAAAAATAAAAATTATCAACGAATAGAAAATAATATCTTTCGATAACAAATAGATATGTATATTCGTTAAGGAAATATCAATATCGTAACTATATTTGTGATCAAATGAAATAACAACAACGTCGTTCGTAACGTAGATGGATTTGTTCAATCGAATCTTCGTATATTTTAATCGATCGAATAAGAGAAGGATAGTTTTAAAACGAAATTATCGTAGCGTTCGTAAGTCATCCATTGTACATATTTCAAAAATTTAGATTTTCTTATCGTAATAGATTTGTATATTTTTTCTCTCTCTTTCTCTCTCTCTCTCTTTTTTTCTATAAGGGAACGTGCGTGTAACAGTTAAAGAGTAGATTTTCTTTTTCCGTTTTAGTATCTAAAAAAATAGTTAACTTGTGTTTTAGAAAGAAGAAAAAAAGAAAGAGAGAAAGAAAGAAAGAAAACGAGAGAGAGAGAGAGAGAGAGAGAGAGAACTGAAAATTAATGGACCGTTTAGTTAGACTCGTCGAATTATCTAAATCGTAGCTTGAGGAGGATCGTTGGTCTTCGTTGCGGCGAACCGTATCCACCCGGTGACGTATTTAATTAAATCGCAGAGCTCACCAAGAGTAACTACTTTGAAAGAGAGGAAGGGAAAGAGAGAAAGAGAGAGAGAGAGAGAGAGAGAGAGAGAAAGAGATATAGATAGAAAGGGAGAGGAAATTTGCATGCGTCGACCGCATCTCTTGCATTCTCGTTACAAAGCATAGACATTATATGCCCCCTTTGAAACGATACAAAGCGAGACGAAGAAGGAAGCACATTCTATTTGCCCTCTTCTCGATGATAAACTCGGTTTAAACCTTATTCATTCACCCAACTGTCACTTTTCTAATATTCGTGACTTCCTAACGTTCGTAACTTTTTCTTCATCTTCCCTTCTATCTCTCTTTATCTTTTTCTTTTCCTTTTTATTTCGCATTTTATTTCATTCGTTATTCTCTTTTTTACTTTATCCTTCCTATTTCTTCTTTTTTTTCTTTTTTCCTTTATCTCGTAGCTACTAGTGGTATTTATAAAAAAAAAAAAAAAAAAAAAAAAAAAGGAGAAAGTATTTGTGCGCCTATTTTTTCTCTTTCTTTTTTTTTTTTTTTTTTATACGTTTCGAGAAAATTCTCTTCTTTGCTTGTAACGAAATATATATATATATATTTCTATGTGTGTACATATATATATATATATATATATATATATATATACACATGGAAATAATTGGATCGAGAGATTGGATTGATGCGGTGTAAACAGAATTTTTTAGAAAAAGTTTTTTTGAAGCTCCTATAAGCTCACGATAGTTATCTATGTTATATTTAAATCTACTCACACCAGGCGTTATATATTTTTACGATAGCGAAAGAGATAGAGATAGATATAGATGGATCGACAGACAGATATATATATATATATATATATATATATACATATAAAGAGAGAGAGAAAGAGAAGAAGATCGAGAATGGTAGAACGAAAGGGTAAGAGGATGATTGGGGTGGCAATGGTGATGGTGTTGGGGTAGAAGGAGGGGGGGAGGGGGAAGGGAAGGAGAAATTCCTCGAGGAAATCTAACATCCGGCCACGTCGAGTTGGCCGAGCGCGTTTGCTTAGACTCATCGAATTATCCGATTCGCGGTCGAGCAATGCTTATCCCCCTCCCCTCTTTACTCCTCGTCATCCCTCGACCTCCAACCTTCTCTCCCCTCTTCCCATCCTTTAACAATCCTTCTCCGTTTCCCACCCCTTCCTCCCTCCCCCCAATCCAAACCACCCACCACCCCAGCTGATCCACCTCTTCTCTTCCTCCTTTCATCGTTTGTTCGTTCGTTGCCCGGCATTGTGCCGAGGCATGTTCTAGAAATGCATTTAATTAAATCCTTTTGAAAGCGTTCGGTGGCCGAGATTAAGGGGTTTGGACTCTTCTTTGAGTATGAACATCAACCCTTACATAGTAACTTTACTATTCTCGAGTCCTCGCGAATTTGCATATCACGGCACGGTTTTATGCACCGGTGCACGCATTCTATTCTTCGTCTTAAGGAGACACCCTGCCCGTACACATATGCGCTCGTTCGTACATACACGCGCGCACGTGCACATGTTACAAACCACTTACGTATGTACGTACATATGTACGGTCGAATAAGAACCATGAGGAATATAGTTGACGTAAACGTTATTATATTAAAAGTGTCTTTTTAAAATGACATTCGACCTTTTTTCTCATTTTTTTTTTGCCCTTCTTTCTTTCTTTCTTTCTTCTCTGCACTTTTTTTTTTCTTTTCTCCTTTTTAACTTTTTTTCGTCGAACGAGAGATCGCACAACAACGAAAAATATTCGAGAGTGGTATAAAGCGAACTGAATATTTTATTATTTCGAACCGATCCTTTTAGACGCGAATTTTATATCGATCGCGAAGTAATGTGTTAGAACGAAAATCCATTTAAAAAAAAAAAGAAAAAAAAGAGAGAGAGAGAGAAAAGAAAAAGAAGAAAAAGTAAAAAAAAAAAAAAAAAGAAAAACAAGAAAAAAAATAGAAGACAAGATATTACAAAAAAATTCGAGAATACATAAACTGACTCTTTATTGCGTTGGATTCTTTCTTTTTTTTTTTTTTTTTCTTTTGTCGTTCTTTTTTTTCGATCTTTTTTCTTTCTTTTTCTTCTTTTCCTTTTTGTTCTTCTTCTTTTTTTTTCTCTTTTTTTGAACGACAAATTTCAACGACAAAATATATTCGAGAGGTTGCATAAGCGTGCTAAATACTTCGTAAAAGTGTATCCATTTTAATTAGGCGCGAATTTTTTTATATCGTATTTTATATTTCGATAATGTGTTGTATCGAAAGTCCATTGAAAACAAAACGAAAAAAAAAAGAAAAAAAAAAAAGAAAAGAAAAAAAGAAAATCTATGATAGCACAAAATTCGAATACACACACACACACACACACACACACACTATTTGAGTCATTATTTTCCAACGAAATTCTTTATCCTCTTTGCTTTCTATCTTTTTCTCTTGATTTTGTTCTTTTTCTTCTTCTTTTTTTTCCTTTCACTCTCTTCTTTTCATTCAGCAGACTTTTTTTTCGCCCATCTAACGAAAGTATTCAACAACGAAGATATTCGAGAGTAGTGATAAGCGAGTGGAATGTTTTTTTCTTTTCTTCTTTTTTTTTTTTTTTTTTTTATTATTATTTCGTACGGATCCGTTTAAACGTGGATTTTATACCAATCAGAAATAATACGTTATAACGTATGTAATGTATGTACATTTGGAGAAAAAAAAAAAAAAAAAAAAAAAGAAAGAAAAAAAAATCTACGTACTCGTAGATATATGTCTTTCGTTAAAACGAGAGATTACAAAAAATTCGAATACACACGTGTTGACTCTTTATTATACTACGAAATACTTTTTTCTCTTCTTTTCATTTCATGTTCTCTTTCTTTTTTTTTTTTTTTTTTTTTTCTTTTTTTTCTTCTTTTCCCCCTTTCGAAATTTTATTCATTACAGAATATTTACAGAACGAGCAAAGATTATTTCATACGTGCGTATCTATAGACGAAAAAAGAGACATTTCATCAAATTTTTGACTATCAATGCGTAGACATTTGTTCTTCAACAAAATGTTACTTGAAAATTATTTCTTTGTCTGCATGCATGCATGTACGATATGTATAACCGGATAAAATAATGGAGAACGAACGTACGAATAGAGTATGTATAAAACTCGTCATACGTACCGTCAGTTTTCAGAACGAAAACGTCAGTTTTCTTTTCTTTTGTTTTTTTCTTTCTCTCGTTTTCTTTTTTTTTTTTTTTTTTTTTATACAGTCCATCCTTTTTGATCCTAAACTATTATTATCGATAATATGTAATTCGTTTCGTTATCCGACACTTTGCACTCAATTTTATTCGAATTAACTCGAATAATCCCGGTTATATTTTCTTACGTCTTAACGTTTAATTCCAATTGGAATTAGCCATATAATTGGTAAAATTAACGTGACCAATCGATTACCGAGGAAACAAAGAAAAAAAAAAAAAAGAAAAAAAAAACGAAAAAAAAAAATCGCTATCACGAATTAGACAAGGCTATTATATATTAATTCAAAAGAAAAAGAATAATAATAGACGTCAAAGATAATAATAACGAAAGAATTTATTTTACGTCCTTTGAATGAACGTGATCACATGAATAACGAACGAATAAATAAATAAATAAATAAATAAATAAATAAATTATTATTCGTTGATAATCTTTCTCATAGATAATTATCATTTTTATATAAGAAAGAAATATTTCTTTCGATCATTTAACTATAACAAATGAGAAAATTTCAATATTTGTCATGTCAGTTTTTCAATAAAATGAATTAATATTTAATAAATAATTAAACGAAGAAAAATAATGAGAATAAATAAATGAATTTTACCTTTTACGATGATACGCAAAACGCAACTCGCTTGTTTCTTCGATACCGGGTGTCTTGCGAAAAAGTTGACCTCGTGTGTGCCAATTTTCAAGTTGGCTTCCAATCTAGTACCCCAAGAAGGTTTCGATCGTACATAACGAAACCAATCGAGATCGGTCGAAGGTTGATCAAACGTCACGAAAGCTTCGTCTCGTCCTGGTGGTAACTCTGCTACGACATCCTTTGGACATTCCAATCTTGGCTTGCTATATCCTAGTAGATATAAAATCATCGAAATACGATACATGATATCTATCTCACGTAACAATTCCGATTAATTATTCGATAAGATTGAAACATTTCATTTTATGATATTAAAAAGTACCATACCTGTGCCATGTATGATATTTATAACAGATGCATTAACCATTTTTTTTTTATTTTTTTACTTTTTAATTTTTATAATGGTGAGTCGTATTATTATTATTATTGTCGTTGTTGTTTTGTATAACGATATAAAATATTTAATTATCAATAGATCAATTTTTAAAAAGCATTAAATGTGTCTGCACTTGTATGGTAGGTATATATATACATATATGTTTATGTGTGTGTGTGTGTGTGTGTGTGTGTTTGTGTGTGTCTACGTATTAAATTCGTGTAATTTTTTATCGCGAATTCTTGAAAATTGACGTAATTAGATGATCAATCGTTACAGGAAATTTTATTACAACGGAAATTCGAGAAAAAGGTAAGAGAAAGAAAGAGAGAGAGAGAGAGAGAGAGAGAGAGAGAGAGAGAGAGAGAGATAGAGAGAGAGAGATAGAGAGAGAGAAAGAGAAAAAAGAGAAAAAGAGAGAAAGTGAGAGAAAGAAAAAGAGAGAGAGAGAGAGAGGGTGAGTGAGAGAAAGAGGAAGTAGAGTCAGAAAAAGAGGAAATTGCCTCGACGTCGAACATTTTCTATTTTTCGATAGGATCGACCGCTTGCATCTGGATGACACGATCCATGATAAAAATTTAATATCGCCCGGCCTTGTGTCGTCGATTATTTTCGTATGCAACGCCGGCTATGACTACACGCTGACCGTGGCTAACTCGATCCAGAATAGGTATCGCGTAACGTTTCTGTAAACTGTGTGATATCGGGTGTATATATATATATATATGTATATATATATATATATATATATATATATATAGATAGATAGTATGCGTGTATATTGTGTGATTGTGTGTGCATATTGTGCGTATGTGAGCGCTCTCACGCGCGCACGTGCGTGTTTGTGCACCGATATGACGAAAAAATAGGGGCAAAACAAGAAGGGGGCAGGGAGCTATTCAAACAAACGACGAAAAAATAAAGAAAAAAAAAAAAGAAAAAAAAGAAAAAAACAAACGAACAAACAAACAAAAGGAAAGAAAAAAGAGAGGAAACAAGAATTCATCGATTTTTTTTTCTTGTTTTTTCTTTTTTTTTTTTCTCTCTCTCTCTCTCTCTCTCTCTCTCTCTTTTTTTGAATACTCATCTTTAACTAACAATATCTATGGGAAAGGGGAAGGGACGCATCTTCGTACAGTATCGAAAAAACTTTTGTAAAATTTTAATAGCAATTGTTTTCATTCGAATGACTTCCATCTGCTTTCATTTCTTTTTCTATTATTTTTTTTTTTTTTTTTTTCATACAATGGACAATGAACTATATACAATAGTTGTGTATGCATTTGCATGTGCATACGTTTCTATACGTATTCTGTAATATTGCATGCTTGATATAAACTGAAGGAAGTGATTAAAAAAAAAATGAAAAGAAAAAAAAAAAGAAAAGAAAAAAAAAAGAAAAGGAAGAAAGAAAGAAAAAATTAAAAGAAAAGAAAAAAAGAAAGAGTAAGAAAAGAAGACTATTAATGGTGAAAATATAAAAAGAAAAATAGTTACTCACTAACGCATTCCCCGTGTTTTGGACCGTCCCATGTGCCATCCGATTGGCACGTAAGTTCGTATTCCCCATGAAGCTGATAACCATGGGGACATTTGAGGAAACATTTAGTTCCAGGTCGATTAGTGATCTTACGTCTACCTCGCCAGGACTTTGGTACGGCCATACGGGAACACATTAGATAGCCTCTTCCCGCAGGATTTAATGGAGGACATACGACGTTGTCTATATCTGCGAAGAAAGGATAAAATGATACAGGGTGTCACGTTCTTCACCGAAAAATTCGATTATCTCAAATGGGGAAATTGAATTTACGAAATAAATTTCTTTTTTTTTTTTTTCTTCCTTTCTTTTTTACGAATTTATCTGATATTTGATTGGCACATCATACGATTGGCACGTCAATTTACTTTTTTCTTTTTTTTTTCATATCACGAATAATCAATATACCTATTTTTTTATTGAAATTATATATATATATATATATATATATATATATATATATATAAATATATATCTGTAGCTAACAGGAAACAAAAATTATGAACGTGTCGATGTTCAAAAGAAATACGTAATTAATTTTTTTTCGTCCGTTCTTTTTTTCTTTTTTTTTTCAGCCCTTTAAATTCATCAAGTGCCTTTTAATGTGTAATACGTATTTTGACAAAATATTAAATATTTTTGTGAAATATTATTTATTGCCCATTTTTTATTCGTCCAAATTTCTGTTCAATCCGATTGGAACATCGTTTTCCACTACTGAATCTCTCCATTTCCATTTCTCTATTCCCATCTCACGTTACTCGCTCTATGAATAGTGATCGAACATATTCATCGGTTATGATTCACCATATCCCAATCATTTCTATATCAAATACATATAGAGTCAAAGCATTCAATACGTTTACCAATCAATGATCTTTAATATCAATCGCAAATCTTTTCTTTTTGTATGGTGCATCAAGAAAATTATTAATAGATTTTTTCTTCATCTATTTTCTTTTTTTTTTTCTTTCTCTCTTTTTCTTTCATTCTCTTAAACGAAGATAGATTACAAATGAATATATTATATAATTCGTAATGAAATTCAATAATTGATTTCTCCTTAATAATTATATATATATATATATATATATATATTTTTGTTAAAACTTGATAATATGTAATACCATTCATTACATTTATGTAGAAATCAAAGAGAGCTTTGACAATGATAACGATTAGAGCGAGAGGAACTCAAAGGCATACAGACATATTGAAATTGAAAGAGTAAGAGACAAAGAAAAAGATTATATATATGTATATATATATACACATATATAAAAAGAAAATATATATATATATATACATAAAGGAATCAAAAGCATCGATTAAATGTAGCAATACAAAATTTATCACTGCCCCAGAGATATTGTATCTCTAGATTATACGGGCTCGATCACGGTACCATGCTTATTCGTCGTAAAAGCACGAACGTCGTTTATCAAACGAACCTTGTAAGAAAATTTATTCGCGATACGTTATTATATGATGTACATATTCAATCCAGAAAGAAAAAGAGAAAGAAAAAAGAGAAAACGGAGAGAAAAGAGGGAGAGAGAGAGAGAGAGAGAGAGAGAGAGAGATGGAGAAAGAAAAAGGAAAAATATTTTCTCTCACAGTCTAACTAAGCTTTCCTTCTCACCTTTCTCCACCATTCACAACGTCCCCTCTTCTTATCCTTTCCCTCTCCTACCCCTCCTCCTTCTTACGTCAGCGTCGTATATTATAGTATTTCTAGACTCGAGTGATGTATGGGTTTCTACTATGTTCTCTCTCTCTCTCTCTCTCTCTCTCTGTACATCCCTTCCCACGCTCACATCTTCGAACAACCCCTTCCAATCCTTCCTTTTCGTGTCAAACGAAAGTGGAAATCATATTCGAGGGAGAAGAAAATTGTTGAAGGAATTGGTGAGTGAACGAGCGTGAGAATGAATGACTGAGTGAAAGAATGAATTTGTGTGAGATAAAAAAAGAGAGAAAGAATAAGATAAACAGAGAGAGAGAGAGAGAGAGAGAGAGAGAAAGAGAGAGAGAAAGAGATAGATAGAAACTTACCCATGCAAGTCTTTCCGTCAGACGAGAGAGCTTTTTCGTCGCCGTCGCAAGCACAGAAGAAACTTCCGTCTGTGTTTTCGCATACCTCCTTACATCCACCATTCTCGATAGAACACTCATCGATATCTGAAAGCATCGAACACGTCAAGGATATTTATCTTAGTGAAAATATATTAAAAAATATCTATATACGTTATGTATCCATGTATGTATGCATGTATACATGTATGTATGTATGTATGTATGTATATATATTATAGCAAAATATATTTAAATTGGAATTTTCGTACAATTCAAAATATCGATTGAATCTCCTCAAATCGATACATTATTTATATATATATATATATTTTTTTTTTCTTTTTTTTTTCTTTTTTTTCATTACTTTTTCATTCGTACAACAGATCAAATTCAACGATTAAAATAAAACAACAATCAGATTCGAGGTTATTCCCAATTCCTTCGAACGAGAATTTTATTTTCCATCGGCTTAATGAGCTTTCTTTCTTTTCCCTTTTTTTTTTTCTTCTTTCTCTTCTTCTTTTTTCTTTTTTTTTTTCTCTTCTTTTTTTTTCACCGCCCAGAACGTACTCATCTCGAAAGATGAATATAACCATTCGTTAATTAAATTAATTAAATACTTTTAATTATGTGTTTCTGTTACGGCGAAAAAAGAAAAAACAAAAAAAAGAAAAAAATGATACGAAGAGAAGGCGCGCGATTTTTCTCGTGGTCTCTTAGAGAAAAAAAGTAAAAAAAAAAGATTCAAAAATCAAAACAAAACAAAAAAGAAATAAAAGAAAAGAAGAAAAAAATAATTTAATTAATATATATATATATATATATATATATATATATATATACTTTCTTCATTTTTTATTATAGATATATATATATATATATCAATGGGTAATTATAAATATTAATAATATTTACTATTGATATATGATTATTGATTTACTGATAATATATAATTATTCTTGCACCAACCTAACAAAAAAAAAATTTTTAAAATATATATATATATATATATATATATATATATATATATATCGAGAGAGAGGAACAGTATATATATCTAGTGAGAGAGAGTGAAAGAGAGAAAAAAAAGAGAGAGAGAGAGAGAGAGAGAAAGAGAATGAAATGATTAGAGGGATACTGTATAAAAGAACACGTATACGATAGCCTCGTGGCTGATCTCGTATTCTTTTGCACCACCGACACCGTCTCGCCGCTTCAATTGTCCACGCGATGGCGTTAAATTGACCGAAATAGACGCACAAGGGTCGGCCAGATTGCGATTGCCTCGAGCACTTTCAATGATGTCCAGAGAGTACTCGACTTCCGTCGCTTTCACGATGAGCCTATCACGGACGTATGACGCGTGTATAAATGTCCATACACGTGCCTGCAAACGCTCAATAATATATATATATATATGTATATATATATATATATATCTACATACGTATGTACAGAAAAAGAGAGAGAGAGAGAGAGAGAGAAAGAGTTCGTACATATCTATGTACATCTATGTACACATCTACGTACATAATATTATATACCATGTACATAATAAAAAGTATTCTCACCATAACGACATCCCTATAAAAACTAAGGGTGTTCTTATACGAAATTTTCAATTATATTTTTAGTAAGTACTTTTAATGCCATCAAATACTATCTGTATAGATGTGTGGTCTGTGTGTGTGTGTTTGTGTGCGTACATATATATATATATATATATGTGTGTATTTACGAAATATATACTTATATATCTAGTATATAATAACAACAATTACGATAATTTATATTTGTTTCAATGTTGTTTTTTTCTCCCTTTTTTTCTTTCATATTTTCTTGTTTCTTTTTTTTTCTTTTTCATTTTATTTATTCATTTATTTTTTTTTTTTTTTTTTTTTGATAATTGTATAACTATAAGAATAATTATGAGAATGATACATTATATTGTAATTTTATTGTTTGTTATCGTTGTTGTTGTTGTTGTTGTTGTTATTGTTGTTGTTGTTGTTGTTTTTGATAAGAGCACATTTTCAATACTATTCGTTCGTGTAATATTCTATTACGAATGATATTATTTTACATATTAATATCCTTTTGTTTACGTGGTGTATTATAGAAATCATGATTTAAACATAATTTAAATCAAATATTATATCGCATAAAATAATATATGTATATATATATGTATATACATACATACATACATACATAGATAGACATGTTTTATGTACGTATATGTTAGAATATTATATATGAACGCAACCGAATGGACGAGAGATCGATCAAAGATAATCCGTTAGAGATTATGATTATTTATTATGAACGTAAACACGTCGTTCCAATTAACTTGATATATTTCTAATCCTTTTACAAAATTTATCACGCGCAACGGCGGCGTAAGCGCGAAATTCAATAATAATTAAATACATACCGTCGAAATTTGGAATAACGTCGACGATTCTAACTTCATATTTAAATAAAATCCATATACACGGTAGACGAGATTGCTCTCATGGTGTGTATCATACTAGTTAGAGAATTAGTTAATCGGATCATGTACAAGCGTACATACGATATGGTATTTAAAATTTGAATTTCTTCTTTTTTTTTTTTCTTTTTTTTTTCCTTCTTTTTTCCTGGTTTTCTTTTTTTTTTTTTTTCTTTTCTTTTCTTTTCTTTAACAATCACACAACATAAGAGATTATTTCTGACATATCGCGAAAGTATTTAAATCGTACGATATAATATTCTAAATGGAAAATAAAAAAATTTTTATATTATTAAATGGACAAATATTCTACGATGTATACTCTATGTCATGTTTATTCTAGGTTTCTTCTTCTTTTTTCTTTTTTTTTTCTTTTTATTGTTATTATTATTTTTTTCTCGTTTTTTTTCGTTTTCCATTTTTTTCTCTCTCTTTTTTTTTTTTCTTTTTTTTTTAACACGTACGAACGTTGAAAACAGATCGATGTACGTTTATATCGAAGTATTATTTTTTTTTTTTTTTTTTTTTTTTTTTATCGAAGAGATATCATTGAAAAGTAAAAAAGAAATATAAAAAAGGAATAAAAAAAAGATAGAGAAGAAAATCGATATATTTACGCAAAGTAAATATATATATATATATATGTATGTGTATATGTATATGTATATGCAATGTAAACATCGAAGAACGAATATGTCCATTGAATTATATTTTCATATTTTTATTAATACACGTATTTATTTAATATACATATAGATATGAGCCTCTCTCTATAAATCTAAGAAAATATTTCTTCATCATTTTCCTCTTCTCTTTAAAATGACAATTGTATAGAGCATGTTCGATTATACGGTCATATCGTTAATTAGTCGGCATTCATGATATAATAAAAAGGTGATTAATGTAAGAACGAATTGAATGGATAAATGAAAGAAAAAGATACGGGTAAGAAGAATGGGAATGAAATGAAGAAAGTAGAATGATTCAGTGACTGTCATTTTTCAAAAATAAATTGTTTGACCGAGTTGATGGATGAGATGGGGGGGGTTGGGGGGGGTTGGCCGGGGAGGTAGGTGGGAGTCGTGGAGATATCGTCGTGAACACGCATAGTCGTCTAATTAGCCAACGTAATTGTTGCGTAATTAGAGCGGAAGAGAAACCTGCTGGCTGGTTGTTTCGTGTTGTCGCGAGAGCAACGTAATTATTCTTCGTCGTTGAACAAACTGGACCCGTTGGCTTAAGCGGCGGGATTCTTATTAGTTTAACGAGTTTCTCGGGGACATTTAAATTTTCGCTGAGAGCTTTTACCCTCTTCGTCCTTTTCCTCGGTTCCCTTTATCCTGATCCTCGTTGTCCTCGTCATTGTCGTTGCCGTTGTCGTTCAAATGTATATACGGTATATATAAGAGAACACATAACTGGTATAGTTCGAGTCGCTTATTCGAGGAAAAGAAAAAGTTCAACTACTCCGTCGGGTGCGTTAAAGGATATTATACCGTACAAGCTAGTGTCCCTTGCGAGGGACAATAGCTTTTAACGGCTCTCCCATCCCTTTAACTTTTCAAATTTTTAAAGGACTCCTTTCTCCCTTTTCTCCCTTTTCCTCTTCCTTTCTCTCTCTCTCTCTCTCTCTCTCTCTCTCTCTCTCTCTCTCTCTCTCTCTCTCTCTCTCTCTCTTTTGTTCTACAATTATTTAATACACAGCACATTTTGTGTCGTAGAATAAAGAAATTTTTCTTTTTATATAGCTTAATTTAACTCTACATTTTCTATGGTAATCATTTTATTTCTTAAAATAATCCTCTTCTTTTCTCTCTTTCTCTCTTTCTCTCTCCCTTTCTATGTCTATCTTTATTTCATTTTTATATACGGCACAGAGCAAATTGTCGTAAAGTAATGATATTTATTTATTTTTGTATTTCTTTTTTTCTTCTCTTCCTTTCTTTTTTTCTTCTTCTTTTTTTTTTTTCTTTCCATTTCTTTGTTCTCTTTTATCTTAATATATAACTCTATATTTTCTATCGTAATCATTTTATTTCTTTTGAGATAGTTCTTAAGTTTCTCTGACTTTTTCTCTCTCCCTCTCTCTCTCTCTCTCTCTCTTTATTTTTTTCTTTCTTTATCGTTCTGTAATTATTTAATACACAGCACATTGTCATGGAATAATGAAATTTTCTTATTCTTTTTATAACTTAATTTAACTTTGAATTTCTAATTGTAATCATTTTATTTCTTAAGAAAAACCTTTTCTCTTCTCTCTCTCTCTCTCTCTCTCTCTCTCTCTCTCTCTCTCTCTCTCTCTCTCTCTCTCTTCTCTCTCTCTTCTTTTTTTTTTTATTCTGCAATTATTTAATACACAGTACATTGTCGTAAAATAACAAAATATATTTACTTTTGTATTTTTGTATTTTTTATTTTTATCCTAATGTAACTTCGAATTATATATTTCAATCATTTCATTTCTTCAAAGAAAATCCTTCTACCTCTCTCTCTCTCTCTCTCTCTCTCTCTCTCTTTCTCTTTCTTTTTTTTTTTTTTTTTCATTGAGTACTGCAATTACTTAATAAAGAGCAACATTTTCTTATTTCCTTTTTTATATTGTTTATCTTAATTC